AAGTGTATCAAAAAAAAAATGCAAGTTATACACTGTTCACACTAGGGACTATATTCGTCCAAAGGACGATAACTGTGTCCTTGGACCTAATAGGATAGAAAGACTTGACCAATTTTAATAAAACTTTGCATGATCTAAGCTTAGGAAATTATAAGATAGTTGGTCAAGTTTCATGGCCATAGAATCTATATTATAGAAACTAGGGCCATTTTAATATTGAAATTTGGATGTTTATTTTTGACGTTTAAATCAAATATTTTCAACTGTCAAGATTTTGGCCTAAAAAATTCAAATATTGCAAAAATTTGCTTTTTAAATACTCTTGAATATAATGTAATAAGTATTAAAAGCAACGGAACACTCAGTTGATTTATCAGATCTATTACAGCTATTCAAATGTCAAATTTATATGAGCCTGTGCCTGAAAATAGAGATTTTCGATTAAGGGAAGCATTACATAAACATGCATTTTTTTCCACCAAGTTGAAGTTTTTGAAGTTTTTTAACCATACATTATTCTTCCATATATATTAAATGTACTTTAAATGTAAAGAAAAGTTACAAAAAGCATACCACATGAGTATAAAATGGTCTTAGGCCATGTAAGACTGAGAATTATTTAGAGTCGATTTAGGCCGTAGCCCATATTTACATATTAAAATGCACACAGAGGCTATAAGAAATGGAAATTTGTTACTTTTTGCTCATTTCTATGCTGAGATGTCATGATACAAGAAGTCTAATTGCAAAAGGACTCTTGAAATCAACTTTTTTTTGCAGACAGTATGGTCTGATGACCAGTTTTTCACTTTTCAATGGAAAACTTGCATGTAGTTTTAGTCTCAATTGGCATATATTTGAACCACTTACTATCCTAAAGAAGAAAATTATGGTAGCATATGAAATGAATAGGGTGTACTGATCATTGTAAAGTGTTTTTTTTACAGATTTAGTGAAATATTTGTGATGGACTACAGATTTTATGTACAAAGCTCTTCACATTTCACATACATCAAACAGGCCGTTTAACCAGGGACATAAATACAAATATTCTGCACATTTTTTCTGTGATAATCTACTTTTCTTTAGATTTAGAGTTCACAAATGGTTAATTTAATTTGATTTAAGCATAGAAACACAAATATCAGGAACATAAAAAGCTGTCAGATAGAAAGTCAGCATGGCTCTTAGGCATAAAATGAAAACTGCTTTAAAATGCTTATTTTAGCCATATAATGGCAAAATGGGACATTTTAACAGAATTTCTGTCAAACAAAGATGTAAATCCTTTACTTTTATTGAGTTTGACAAATTGAAACCAGCAAACCATTCAGGAAAGTTGCCAAAGTACAGAATCTACATTTACGGAATTCATCTCTTAGGCCCGAGAACACAGTTATTTCGTAGTGCATTTCTTTTAGACAATAAATTCAAATTAAAAAAATCGCACCTGCTCTATCTCAAAAAGATTTTTACAGTGTAGTGAAATACTATTGATACAAATAATATCAAAATTATAGAAACTTCTACCAGCTCTAACTCAAAATATTGACAATTCTGTGTTAAGGGGGGCTAAAATTCAGTTTGACAGCTTCAGACATTCTAATTTTTGACCTTTGTTAACTGGACCAAATCACTACTTAACATAAAGATTCAGCACCCAAATTTTTTTAACATGTAATTTCATCCCCTTACTTAATATTTCATGCATAAAATATCAAGAAATAAATTGGGAAAGTGTATCAAAAAAAAATGCAAGTTATACACTGTTCACACTAGGGACTATATTCGAGACAACGAAAACCAAAGGACGATAACTGTGTCCTTGGACCATGTATATTAACCGTCATATTTTATAAAAATAAATTGTATTGAATGTTAAAAAAGAAATTTGCTTTGGGGTATACGCACAAACCACCTTCCCTTTTCCACCTCCCGTTAACTTTTGTAAATTTAAAAGCCATGGCTTTAAGTATCCGTTGATAATCACGACTCGTATGATAAAATTCTTTATTTTAAGATCGACGTCTGAATTGCTGTGTCAACAAGGAGTAAGTAAAAGTCCACATACAGACACAAAAAATACGGACAAACCACCTGGTGATTTAAATTATCTTCCTTGTAGTTTATTTGCTGATTAGCATGAATTATATTGTATGTTGTGTATGCCTTGCACGATGAATTGGTATAATAGTTTGACTTATTTTGCAATTATACCTGTACAGCTCTGTATATTAACCCATTATAATTACGCCAAACCGAATAATTCAGTCCTTCCACGTAACCGATCGCTCATGCTTGCGAGGGTATGAATTCCTTTAACACTAGAAACTCTTCACGAATACTGGACTTTGATTGGTGTCATGTGGGAGCGGTGAATAATTAGCTGAAATCCCAAGCTAATTCCGAATACTTTATTGACGATAGTTGAGGGTGTGGATAGGGTTTACAGAATAGAGAATAATAAGTAAAAAGTGCAGAAAAGGGGCAAAAAATATAAAGAATAGAAAAAAATAGGGCAAATAAATAAAGAATAGAGAATAATGGGGTGCTAGAATATAAAGAATAGATAATAATGGCCAAAAAATATAAAGATTAGCTGAGGAAAATTACCTTAAATATTAAAGAATACAAAATTGAAGGACCCCAACCAAACCCTCATAGTTCATTGTATATGCACGCGTTAGTATTACCATCGTAGGGCAGCAGAATCATGAGAATATAACGACTGAATTATTCGGGTTGACTTTCGCCTTAATTCATTTGATTTTTCCATGCCAATTGTACAGTTATTTAAATAATTTACTTTTATATATTTATCCTATCTGTCTGTTTATCCATTTGCTTAGTTTTGGTTTGTAATTCAATCTAATTAAAATTCATATCTATATTAACTCGAGTGGTCGTACAGGAGTTTAACGAAATCAGAGAACTATATTTTAATTAGATTTGTTTTCAATTGTAGTTATTCAAATATCTATACTTTTATCAATTAAGCTTCTCCGTCTGTCTATCTATTTGCTTAGTTTTTGGTTTTCGTATTAAACTTGAATTGATATTCAATTCTTTGTTGTAGTGTTTGTTTGTTCGTCTAGTGAGTTGTCACTCGTTTAAACTCGGCCGATTCCGTGACTCGGTCGGATTCAACCGAGTATTGCCGTTTGGCACAGTTCAATTTTTTCTCACAATTCAGTTGCTTTTTTGTTGTTGCAAGTTTGTCTTGTTTAATCTAATTATGTCTTTGTTTATAAATTGGATATAAAAAATAAGGAGATGTGATTTGGTTGCTAATGAGACAACTATTCATCAGAAACCAAATGACGTGGATGGAATTTACTGTAGTACAGCTTTCAACAAAGAACAAAACCAATATCGCAAAGGAAGATATAAAAGGCCTCGACATGACGAAATGTTAATCAATTTAAAAAAAGACAACCAAAGAATCACAGGCTTAAGAAAGCCACATAAAGAATTTGACGGAGTGAGCATGTTTGTGAGTGCTCAACCCCTCCCCTAACCTGGGACGGTGGTGTACCAGCAAAACATAAGAGGCAAATGTAAAACTCACATGTGTTGTCATTTTGGTACTAACCTTCTGGGACTTTTTACAAATCTCATGAAATATTGAGAAAGTAAGCATATGTATTAAAGCTTTTTATTGCCGTTCTACATCTCAACAGTTGCAGGAAGAGATGTCATCAAACATATCCTATATAAATAAGAAGATGTGGTATGAGTGCTAATGACACAATCTCCATCCAAGTCACAATGTATAAAAAGTTAACAATAATGGGTCAAAGTACGGCCTTCAACACGGAGCCTTGGCTCACACCGAACAGCAAGCTATTAAGGGCCCCAAAATGATAGTGTAAAACAATTCAAACAGGAAAACCAACGGTCTAATCTATATAAAAAACGAGAAACGAGGGAAACCTATGAACCACACCAACAAACGACAACCACTGAACAATAGGCTCTTGTCTAGTTTATATAAAAAGCCGTTGTGGATCAAACGTCAATGAAACAACAACCAAAACCGTATGCTTACAATTTGCTGCAAGAAGTTAACAAATGCATGCACTCAATGGATGTGTTATGTATAATCCATTTGCTTTGTACTGTTTCATTTAAGCATTAACTTATGTTTCCTACTTCATGCTTTGTTATCTGTGACATATGTTTCACATTTTATGTATTGTCTGTTTCATTTAAGCATTAACTTATGTCTCCCACTTCATGCTTTGTTATCTTTGACATATGTTTCACATTTTATGTATAATCTGTTTCATTTAAGCATTAACTTATGTTTCCCACTTCATGCTTTGTTATCTTTGACATATGTTTCACATTTTATGTATAATCTGTTTCATTTAAGCGTCAACTTATGTTTCCTACTTCATGCTTTGTTATCTTTAACATATGTTTCACATTTTATGTATAATCTGTTTCATTTAAGCATTAACTTATGTTTCCCACTTCATGCTTCGTTATCTTTGACATATGTTTCACATTTTATGTATACTCTGTTTCATTTAAGCATTAACTTATGTTTCCTACTTCATGCTTCGTTATCTTTGACATATGTTTCACATTTTATGTATAGTCTGTTTCATTTAAGCATTAACTTATGTTTCCCACTTCATGCTATGTTATCTTTGACATATGTTTTACATTTCATGTATAATCTGTTTCATTTAAGCATTAACTTATGTTTCCCACTTCATGCTTTGTTATCTTTGACATATGTTTCACATTTTATGTATCATCTGTTTCATTTAAGCATTAACTAATGTTTCCCACTTCATGCTATGTTATCTTTGACATATGTTTCACATTTTATGTATCTTCTGTTTCATTTAAGCATTAACTTATGTTTCCCACTTCATGCTTTGTTATCTTTGACATATGTTTCACATTTTATGTATAGTCTGTTTCATTTAAGCATTAACTTATGTTTCCCATTTGATGCTTTGTTATCTTTGACATATGTTTCACATTTTATGTATAGTCTGTTTCATTTAAGCATTAACTTATGTTTCCCATTTGACGTACCTGAAGATGACAAAGAACATACCCCAGGTTGCGATAGCTTCCAAAGAGCTGACAAATCTCCAGATGTGACAGGTAAAGAATGTAACTTTTAGCTTAAATGAGGGTCTGGTGGGGTTTACAGAATAGAGAATTTTGGGCAAAAAGTGCGCAATAAAGTAGAAAAAAAAAACATAAAAATTAGAGAAAAATAGGCTAAAATATATAGACTAGAGAATAATGTGCCGCTGAAATATAAATAAAAGAGAATAATGGGCAAACATTAGAGAATAGATAAAAATAAAAAATACAGAAATGGAGGACCCCCCATCCAAACCCTCTTATATCTTCAATACTCATTATACATTAATTACTGCTTCGTAAAATCAGATATTTTAGAGCAATTTACACAGTCTGAATAATGAATCAAAATGGAATCCCCACAGGAACCAACTATGCAACAATTTTTAACATTAACAGTTCACATTGTTAATCCTCTGCTTGAAAACATGAAGGTCTGGAGGGGAGGTCCTTCACTTCTGTATTCTTTATTTTTACGTCTTTTTTCTCTTTCCTTTATTTTCTTGTGGCCGTTTTTTACTATTCTGTATATTTTTTGCTCATTATTCTATATTTTTTATTTTTTGTCCATTATTCTGTAGATTTGGCACATTATTTTGTATTCTGCATGCTATCTCAGCAGATCGCATTATACCGAACCGTCTTGATCTTACTCTTAATAAGCGTCTGTTGCTTATAGGAGGTGACAAAGCAGACACCTATATAAAAAAGGCGATATGGCATGATTGTCAAGAGAACTACGATCTATCATGCTTATCTTGTCGATGCACCAAGACTAATCGAGCGATTCAAACTGTTTTCAAAGTATTTTGTATCTAGCTGTAAAGGATTGAACTGGTACCAGTATGCTACCATCATATCAAACGTATAAGAAACAGGGGCGGATCCAGGATTTTTGAAAGGGGGTGCAATTCTTGAAAACGGCGGTATATATTCCTATGAGCGGAGCGATGCTAAAAAAAATGACGATTTTATGCAAAAAAAAAAAGATATATTTTCCAACCAAAAGGGATACGTCCTATTCCGCCTAGCGAAGCGATGCTAAAAAAATGATGATTTTATGCTAAAACAATGTAGATTTTCCTATCAAAAGCGGGTACGCCATCTTCGTAACCCCAACCCCCTCCCTTGAATCAGTGACTGAGAATAATTAATCCTTTCAGCTTACAGAGAACAGATTAACGATGTAACATCGTATATTGATTGCAGCCATGTTTATGGTAGTTCTGAAGAACAGGTAGCAACCCTTAGAGATACGATAGACCCATGTAAGTATAATGTATACGACTGACTGAGCTCATCTTGTTGCATCTGTCTGTCATATGCTGTTTCATATTTCTATTGATGGGCGGAAGGACCTTTTTCGGGACGTCGGGATTTGGCCATTATTTTTGCGGGAATTCTTGATTTACCCTTACCGGGTTCGGGAATTAATGATTAATTTTTCGGGTTCCGGGAAAGAATGCTTTATTTTTTTCGGGAATTCAGAATAATTACCCCTTCTACCGCCTCTCTCTATTGTAAGAAAACAAATCATTTAAAATATAGGTTCCACTTGTCCTACTTTTTCAGACATAAGTGGCATAGGAGTAGACTGAAAAGTCTGTGTGCGGTCGGGGAGGGGGCTTTTGAAAAAAATACATTCTTTTATCCATCACTTCACTTGCTCTTCATGACAACGCTAAACCCAAACGTAGAAATCAAAACTAAACCCAAACGTAGAAATCAAAACTAAACATCAAACTGTTTGATTTAACTCTTACTTTCTTGGTCTAGCAATTGAAATGTTATTATAATAATTAATGCTTCTTTTTTATTTTATTTTATATATGTTATAACAGCCTTGATCATATCTAATTTTTTTTATCGTTTCTGCGCTTTAAAATATAGGTTCCACTTGTCCTATTTTTTCAGACATAAGTGGCATAGGAGTAGACTGAAAAGTCTGTGTGCGGTGGGGGAGGGGGCTTTTGAAAAAAATACATTCTTTTATCCATCACTGCACTCTTCATGACAACGCTAAACCCAAACGTAGAAATTAAAACTAAACATCAAACTGTTTGATTAAACTTACTTTCTTGGTCTAGCAATTGAAATGTTATTATAATAATTAATGCTTCTTTTTTATTTTATTTTATATATGTTATAAAAGCCTTGATCATATTTAATTTTTTTTATCGTTTCTGCGCTTTATACAAAATGTGCTTCCGTTAACTCTTTTACACCACCATAGATCTACAACATGAGGCATTCAACTTCTATACCCCTGCTTCGAGCGAGGATTATACTGGTTTTCGTTCATTCGTCCTTGTGTCTGTCCATCACTTGAATTTTCGTCGCAGTTCTTCTGCGGAAGTACAAATCAGAGCATCCTGAAATTTGGTAGTAAGATTAGCATGTATTACCGTGTGATGCGTTTTAACATTTATCAGTCATCAACCTCTTAAAATTGTCACCGAATGCTTGAATATTTTTAGATATAACGGTCATGTATTTAATTTTCGTCGCATTTCATTCAGAAACTATGAATCATAGTTCCCGGAAGTTCAGTAGCAACCACCACGTGACTATACTCTGTTTTTGATTCATTTTCACATCCATCGCTCATCAACTCCCTGTTTACCTAAAACTCGGGTTATCACCAGTAAGCAATAGCCCACAGCTGAACTTGTTGAACAAAATATGACAAAGAGTGAAAAAAGTAATTCATTATGTGTATCAAAGGTTTGACATTTTCGGAAGGCGCAAATTTTTAGGTTATTAAATTTTGCAATTAAGAAATAATCAAATAGTGTAATTTTTTTTTTTTTTTTAAGAAATGCAAAATAAGGGACAAGGATGACGAGAAAATAAAATCTTGCGAACAGATATGGGCCAGGGTAACGATAAATTTAAAGCCGGTAAAAATAAACAACTTAACATATTGCTAAAATATCAATAATTCTATTGCAGTCCTTCTGAGAACTTCCCCTGGAAATAACTTACCTGAGAGGGTAAATGGGTTTTGTCGCAAGAAACCAGCGTCAACGGATTTTTGCCAATTAACAGGTAACAAAATATTCAGTATTTGATTGATTGATTTTTGGTGTTTAAACGCTATAAAACGCGACTCCCAGGTGTGGGGCTCGAACTCACAACCTCAGTGTTGACAGGCTAGTGGAACAGAAGTTAAACTTCTTGGACATGTTAGACCACTCGGTTCCCGGAGCCCTTTCATTATTCGGATGTAAAGTATTAAGTTTTCACATATTCATATAAGTAAAATAGTCTCATTATACAAGTGCAACTCCAGGTTTATTGGTGGTGCATAAAACATCGGAGAAAAAAATGCCACCTAAAAAAATGTTCATAGAATTAATTATGAATAAAGGATATATAGGGTATCATGAAGACAACAACATACAAAAAAAGATAAAACAGTAGTCAACATGGTTTAACAGTTTAAGGCTCGAGTTTTTACAAGTTTTAATCTGCAACACAAAATTCAGTAATAGACACCACTGTCAAATTAATAAGATGTACAATGTATAGTAACAAGTACGGCACTTCAATATGTATTTATCTTAGCGGTATATAATGATGGTTGGCAATTAATTACCTAATAAACCAATTTTGAACTGAAACGGTCAATTTTATATGAACAGCTTTTAAAAGACTGAACATTAAATTATCAGATCATATTAGTAAGTCTTTCAATCAATTTTCAGACTCATCCACTACTATAAATTCAATACTGTTGAGACAATTCTTTTGTGGTTAGTTAAAATTTGTTATGTCTATGTTCAGACTGGTCTGTAGTTATTGTTTACCTGTAAACAACAACAACATACTGAATTGTCCGAAAAACTATATAGTCAAGCGTTTGGTTTTTTGTCGGTTAATATGGACTTTCCCTAAAAAGTTTACCTTGATGTTCAATATTTTTGTTGTTACATATTTCGCAACCAAAATTCATATCTCAGCACAATCAATACAGACCTAAGAAAAATAGGCAACAATTATTTAAGAAGGCCAAAAGAAAAAAGATGAAAAAAAAACACCAGTTCAAAAAATACCGAAAGACTAAACCAAAGATCGAGCAACACGTACCCAACCGATGACTGGGTAGAACTCTTGACATTAACCTTGTACTTACCACGAGCAATACGACGGTGCATCAAGTGGAACAAGATCTGCTTTTCGTCGCACTTGAGTTTACCCTGCAGTTTTGGTGAGGTTCGTGGTGCTAAGGCTAGTCTTTAGTTTTCTATGCAGTGTTTTGTGAACTTGTTTGCATTTTCGTCGTTTTCCTTCTTTTTGCCTAGGCGTTGTCAGTTTCTCTCGGCTTATGAGTTTTTAATGTCCCCTTTGCATCTTCTGCCTCTTAATTCTTTTATTAACTCAATTTAACCAATCAAAAGCAGTGAGAAAAGAAAATGTAGTCAAAATTTGACCGACATGTCTGTTTTTTAACAGAAAAAGTCAATTTGATGGTTTTAAATACACTCATCACAGATACCAGGATTAAATTTTGTACACCAGACGCCCGTTTCGTCTACAAAAGACTCATTAGTGACGCTCCAATCAAAAAAGCAAACAAGGCCAAATAAAGTACGAAGTTGAAGAGCATTGAGGACCCTAAATTCCAAAATGTTTTGCCAAATACAGCTAATAAGGAAATTTATTCAAAACTTAAGGGCGAATTAATCTACCCCGCACAATATTTGTAGGCTATACAGCTTCAGAACACAGAACCAAGCTGATTTACGTAATCTAGTAGTCGAAGAAGGTTCACTTAGTATTTTAAGTGAGGACAATGAACAAAATCAAAAAGTGTAATAGAATTTGTGAAACGCATTTGATTTTGACATGTTTGCTTGAAACAAAAATTAACTATTGTTACACCACTGTCCCAGGTTAGGGGAGAGTTGAGCGATCACAAACATGTTTATCCCCGCCACATTCTTTATGTGCCTGTCCCAAGCCAGGAACCTGCAGTTCAGTGGTTGTTGTTGGTTCATGTCTGTCATATTTGTTTTTCGTAAATTGTTTTGTTATAAATTAGGCCGTAAGTTTTCTCAATTGAATGTTTTCATATTTTTATGTCGGGGCCTTTCACACCTTTTTACGGTATGGGTTTTTCTCATTGTTGAACGCCGTACGGTTGCCTATAACTGCTTACATCCACTTTATTTGAATTTGGTGGATAGTTGTCTCATTGGCAATCATACCTCATCTCCTTATTTTTATATTCTTTGTTTTATTGGAAACACAGTTTTTAAGTTTTATTCAGCTGCAATTGCATTACAAAAATATATATATCAAAAGTATTGAATTGGCTTAGCTGTCATTTTTTTTATGAATATAGGAGATTCAAGAAATGACCAAGTACCTAGTCTCCAGTTAAACCATCTTGTTCTAGTAAGGGAACATAACAGGCTCGCTAAAATGCTAAAACAAATCAACCCATACTGGGATAATGATAGAGTTTTCGAAGAAACACGAAGAATAGTCATAGCTGAGATGCAGCACATTACCTATAATGAATACCTACCAGCCATTCTTAGTCCTAGAACATTGAGAAAGTTCAACCTTAAACCAAAGAAATGTGGATTTTATGACTGCTATAGTGATAAAATTGATGCCTCGGTAAGGAACGCTTTTGCAGCAGCAGCATTTCGAATGGGACATTCACAAACGAAGAGGGAACAGTCATTGCTTGCAAATGATTACAAAACCAAAACTACCGAACTTCTTGTAGACAACTTTTTCTCTCCGCACCTGGTTCAAACAAATCAAGGAGCCAATGTTAAGGATTTCATGCGATGGTTGACTTTTACACCAGCTAATGAAATTGACAGGTAAGATATATATATATAATCCGACCCATATTGATAATCTCGTTGTGACAAATAGTGTTACATCAACTGCAAGCAGTATGTAGGTATACGTCAATGTACATTAATACAACTTATGATGGTCACGCTAGATGGCAGGACATGGTCTTCAACAAACGAAAAGGGGCTTAACTCATATGTCATTATATTTTCTATTTTTAAAGTCTAAACAATGCTGTATAAAATTTTGAGTGAATTAACTTTATACAATGAGAGTGTGTAAAATGGCATAGTGAATACCAGAACACTGTATACTAGGTAAAGTATACCTTAAAAGACAAAAAATCTAAAAGTAAGAAGATGTGGTATGATTGCCAATGAAACAACTCTCCACCAGTGACCAAATGACGTAGAACTTAGCAAATATAGGTCACTGTACGGCCTTCAACAATGAGAAAACCCTTACCACAGAGTCAACTATAAAAGGCCTCTATCGGCAGTTGTTTCGGCTTAGGGCTTGTAAATCCAAATAAGACTGACGTGTGACTGGATGTATCTTTAACAGTCCCACAAGAAATTGATATTTAGAATATGGTTTGTTGCAATTTCGTAAGAAATATTTAGTTCACAATCTCTTCCGTTATAGCTACGGAGTGAATGCAATGCGAAACAGGCTGTTTAATCGTAGCATAGATTTGTTTTCAACCAACACACAAAGGGGGCGTGACCAAGGTGTACCAGGATACAATGACTGGAGAGAATTTTGTGGCCTGAAAAGATTGACGTTCCAAGACTTCCCTACAAAGTTACAGTATGTCCTTCAAGACTTATATGCGTAAGTAATGATGGAATGGATTGGGGTTTGCAGAATAGATAATAATGGGCAAAAAATATAAAGAATAGAGAAAATGGACCAAAAAAATAAAAAATAGAGAATAATGAGGTGCTAAAATACAAAGAATAGAGAATGATGGGAAAAGGTATAAAGCATAGAGAAAAAAGGACAAAAAAAATAAAAAAATTGAGAATAATGAGGTGCTAAAATACAAAAAATAGAGAATAATGGGAAAAAGTATAAAGAATAGACAAAATGGCCTAAAAATTTAAGAATACAGAAATGGAGGAATGGACTTCGGGAAATCTTTAAACTATATTATTGTGACCTCTAACGTCACGGTACCCAAATTGCACCTAGTATTTTGACAGTTTTTTTTCACCTACGTTTATTTATGATCTAGACAAAAATTTCCATTCTGCATTTATTTCATAGATTATCCTTATTTACTATATAGTTCCACCAATTTAATTTGAATCCATATTGAATCATAGAAAAATGGGTTTGAACCGACCTCCAAACGACCCATGATTCTGTAATGAGGAGTACCCAAAATGCATCCAATCTAAAATTCACATTCGTAAAAATCGAAAAGCTGACGTTTTGTTTTATTTCTTCAAATATTTAGAACAATTTGACAATAGTCCGTGCCTGTAACATATTTTAATTGATCATTCTTTTAAAAAGTTGACTTTTTGTAGACGTTTCCGTAGATTTACTTTTTTTGAGCGAATACCACATCTGTTGATATATACTGTGAACGTTTTGTGTATATTTAAATATATTTAGCTATGTTGAAAGACGTGCATAATGTCAAATCATAACAATACGAATTGTTTAGTCTCTAAGAAAACTTGTAAGATTTCCGTTTCTATTTTTGCTAAATGGGTGCAATTTGGGTACTCGGTGCAATTTTGGTACTGTTACGTTATAACATTTATGGAGTATATAAGTATATATTAATAAAGCATTCAGTAATTTCCTCGATGTGAACTAAAGGCAGAGGATATTGTTAACGACATGTTTAAAAATAATCACATACAATGAGAATGACTTTAATATCTGATCGAACGAGGTTTCATTTGTTTGCACAGGGACTTGTCTCTGAATTTTTTATTTCATATATACCTTTAAATTCTATTAAGTTATATATGACATATGAATGATTTGTTGATTGATAGATTGATTGATTTATAAGGTGTATATGAAATATGATTGATTGATTGATTAATTCATTCACTGTTTGGTTCATGAGTATGAAACCTTAAAGTACATTAACATGCATAAGTTAATCAAATATTGCACAATTTCTGCATTCTTGAAACAGATTTACGACGCATCAAAAGATAAAGTAGATGCCATGCCTGTTACTGTCTAAGTATTACATTGTATACTAAACTTGAATATGAATATTTTGGCCTCGAGCATCACTGAAGAGACATTGATTGTCGAAATGCGCATCTGGTGCAGAAAAATTGGTACCGTTTATGTTATTACTACCACTGGGTCGATGCCTCTGCTGGTGGACTGATAGTCCCTGAGGGTATCACAAGCCCAGTAGTCAGTACTTTTGGTACTGGCATGACAATATGGATTTTGTGCTATTCAGTATAATTTGCTGTAACAAAATTTTGGAAATCAAATTAAGGAATATATCTCCCTCATGCAAAGTTCTGATTCCTTGCCCTGCTTTGGCTATACTTTTTTGTCCTTTTTGGTTTATAGCTCTTTTTTCTTTTAATAAGCTTTGGATTTTCAAATATTTTGACCTCGAGCCTCACTGAAGAGACATTGGTTGTCGAAATGCGCATCTCAGGTGTAGAAAAATTGGTACCGTTTATGTTATTGATACAACTCTGTTTTTTTTTTTAATTTGTTTTCCTCACTAAGAATTAGTGTACCTTTGCTGGTTCGGGTGTTTTCATATGTTTTGAGATTATTTGCCCTTCCAATTTTCGTTATTTCAGCACAATTCACGAGAACTATATTTTCTATTTATTTTTATAAGTTGGAAAATATATTTTAAATTCTTTTGATAGATCTTGTGACGATGTCGATCTGTTTGTTGGCGGACTTCTTGAGAAGTCCAAGAATGGGCGTGTTGGAGAAACTTTTGCATGTTTAATTGGTAAACAATTTCATCAGACTAAACATGGAGATCGATACTGGTATGAAAGGGAAGAATGTGGGTTTACAGAGGGTATGAATATCATTTAGTAAAGCTTGATATCTATATAGTGGTTGTGTTAAGAGGACGGGGAGGATTTTGAAAATGAATATCCCGGCCTGGTAAGAGCGGAAAATAAATAACCTTGCATAAGACAGGATGAAAATGAATATTCTGCAACACAAAATTGCAGGAATCCATCGTGTACAAAAGTGCAAATAATTTTCGCGCAGCAAAGTATTGGAAAAAAATAAGCATACGTAGCAACAAAATGAAAATGAATAGTCGATCTGAAAAAATCCCCCCCCCCCCGAAATATCAAATGTTCTTACTCTTAAGTACAATTATGATCAAGTATTATATCTTATGCGTTTATATTAATATATTGATGATATATTTTAATTCCTATAGCCAGTTTATACTTTTCCCGACCGGTTGATTCTTTTTATTCATTTTTCAAAATTCAATGACGGACACAAACTTTTCTTGAGTTCTTCTAAATTTGCCTTTTGTGACCTCACGGGAAAATGCAACCATGCCTGATGACGGCACATAAAAGAAGACATATTTTTGCAGATCTTTAAAATCATCGAATTAGGAAGGTCATGAAATATTTCATTAGGTTTTCAATAATTTGAGGATATATCCTGAATTCGTGTAGGTCCGGAAATATTTCAGGAGCTACTTAAAATACAATATTTTGATTAAATTCGTGTCTCAAATTTTGGAGAAAACTGCATAAAGATATTTCTCCATCCATTCTCGACAGTTAAATTTTGAAATATATAACACAATCTCAGAGTAAGATTTGATAGTCACAAAAGTAAATTAGATGCTAGCTTGAAGGTGAATCCAGAAAAGCTCTTCGTACGCATGATATTTATAACGTGTTGTTTTCATTTTTAGCTCAACTGACCCAAACTTGTACTAAATCATCCTTAGGGTATCTAGTTTTAAAAATGTATTCGATGACCCTGCCCATCAACCAAGATGGCCGCCATGGCTAACAATAGAACATGGGGGATAAAATGCAGGATTTGGCTTATATCTCTGAAACTAAAGCACTCAGAGCAAATCTGACATCGATTAAAAATGTTTATCAGGTCAAGATCTATCTTCCCTGAAAATTTCAGACGAATCAGACAACCTGTTGTTGGGTTGCTGTCCCTAAATTGGTAATTTTAAGGAAATTTTGCAGTTTTTGGTTATTATCTTGAATATTATAATAGATAGAGATAAAATAAAACTGTAAACAGCAAAAATGTTCAGCAAAATATGATCTACAAATAAGTCAACATGACCAAAATTGTCAATTGACCCTTTAAGGAGTTATTGCTCTTTAAAGTCAATTTTTCACGAATTTATTGTAATTTTTGTAATCTTTCACAAAAATCTTCTCCTGAAATTACAGGGCGAAGTTGGGCCATACTTGGCCTAAATGATCCTTTGGGTAACTAGTTGTAAAAATGTATCCGATGACCGCGCCCACCTACCAAGATAGCCGCCATGGCTAAAAATTGAACATAGAGGTAAAATGCAGTTTTTGGCTTATTTCTCTGAAACTAAAGCATTTAGAGCAAATCTAACGGGGGGTTACAATGTTCATCAGATCAACATGACCAAAATTGTCAATTGACCCCATAAGGAGTTATTGACCTTTAAAGTCAATTTTTCACTATTTTTCGTATTTTTTTTTTTATCTTTTACAAAAATCTTCTCCTCTTAATCTACTTGGTCAAATGTAATTATACTTAGCCACAACTATTATTAGAGTATCTTGATTGCAAAATATATCCGATGACCCTGCCCTACAACCAACATGGTCCCCATTGGTAAAATAGAACATAGGGGTTTACTATAGAAGTCTATGGGAAATATGTAAAAAAAAACAATTTCAAATGGCCACAACTTGAAAACTAATTTAAATGATGATGAGGGATCTCCAGTAACTATTGTAAGACTACGATGGGATGACTTGATGTACCTGCGGCTAAGTCGGGGTCAGGGGAACCCCTGCCCAAATTTTTTTGAAGGGTGTTCCATAAAAACATTTATAGGCATTTTCAGCATTATACAGGCCCTGGGTGAAATAAATTTTGGAGCTGGAGGAAAGGAAATTTTTAATTTTTTATTAATTATCTTGAATATCATTATAGATTGAGATATACTGTAAACAGCAAAAATATCAAGCAAAGAAAGATCTACAAATAATTTAACATGACCTGGTTGGCAATTGACATCTTATTGGAGTTATTGTCCTTAAAGTTATTTTCTGCAATTTATTGGTAACTTTTATAAATCTTTTCAAAAGTCTTCTGCTTTTAATTTAACTACTGGGCCAAATTAAACCAAACTTGGCCTCAATCATTATTAGGGTATCTATATGACTTTAACCTTATGTTACATGATTTCCAAACCCACTGTAGATACAGGTGAGCGACACAGGCAGCTTGAGAGCCTCTAGTTTTAGAATTTCAATACATGTAAGCCACATGACTTGTTGCAATAAATGTGACATGTATGTTTGACTGATTCTTTTCCAGCACAGCTTAACTCAATTAGAGATATGACAATGTCCAAAGTGCTTTGTGAGAACCTTGGATTGGATCGTATTCAAAAGAAAGCCTTCATACGACCTTACAGAGAAAGGTAAGTTACGGAAAACGTTGATATTCAAACATCGTTAGTGCAAAACTATTCATTTTGCGAGCCGAAATTACACAAACACCTTGAATTGTGTGTCAAGGGAAGGGAGGTGATCAGTAGTTGATTGTATTTAACGATTAAATAGTTTTTTACATACAACACATGTACAAAGAGGGTGTTATAAGTGAAGCAGGAAATGCTTGTCGTTTTGGAACCCTAGAATCATGATTCCCAGATTTTGGTTGGGTTTGTGTTCCACCATTTGATTTTTTATACGTATGTTCATTGCTTAATGTTACATTAGGATTTTTTTCTATAAAAATACGAAAATGTGATAAAAAAAATGATTGCCAATGAGACAACCATCTATCAGAGACCAAATGACGTAGAAGTTAACAGATATAGGTCACCATACGGTCTTCAACCATGAGCAAAATGTTCTCTTTTAACAATGGTACTACTGTCTACCCTTTTATTAACGATTTTTTTATTTTCCTTTTATATATGCTTACTATAACCTTATCTCTCTTAATTGATATATGTTTAATTTATTCAAATATGGATATGTCTTCATGATTTGACTCATTACATTAAAAGGAAGAAAGAAATCATGAACACGGTATGACTCAATTGCATTTCTTTAAACAATCAAAAATTTAACATATACAATAACACAGTATATGTTTATCTGTAAAAGTATTCAGAATAAAAGTCTAAAAAAATAGTATAAAATTGTCATTTAGGGGTACTAACTCCTGAGTCGTATGATTTAATGATAAAATGCTAACGAAATATTAAAAACTGCCCCAACTTCTTAACCTTACTAACATCCGATTTTGAACTTGTGACGAAAAAACTAAATATATGATATATGTAACACTATTTGCAAATTCTATGACAGCTTCTAACGCATTTTGTCCGAAAATGTAAACAGAATGTAGAGTGTTTTACGGAAAAAAAAACGATTGATTGATCGCTTCTTGCTTAACGTCCAGTAGCAAATAGTTCAAGCTTATTTATGGCGAGAAACAAATTAATAATCAATATAATACATAGGTTCAGCAAGATAAGTCGATGTTTGGAAAAATGAAAGTAGCCACATTTCGACCTTTTTTGGCAAAAAAATCACATATTGCAAAATTAAAGCTTTAAACCTGAATTTGTTTTATTTTTTTTAGCTTTTTCCGCCCTTACAATATGCATGCATATAAAAAAAATGTCTGAACTGTTATGAATGCACAGCAAGTTGTTTCTGTGGTAATAATTTAATTTTGGATGTAACGCGTCTTCTGATTGGCTGACGGTGTTTTGTTTATCACTCATATATGGACATAATTTAGTAATGTGACCGAGAAGTCGTCAACGTTTTTTAAGTTACTCCGGTTTAAAGTGGAATTTAGAATTAAATTATAAGGAATGACTGTAATGTTTTTTCTTTCTATTCTATTCGAAATAACATAGAAAATGTGGTGCACACTTTAAAATAACCCGCTACGAGGGTTATTCAGTGTGCACCACATTTTTTATGTTATTTCTTCATAGACAGAAAAAATATTACAGCCATTCCTTAATTAAACATTAACACATAGGTTTTTACGTAATTTTCTTATAGGAACGCAACTTTTGACATGTAACAGTCCGAACGCCCCTCAGAGAGTTAATACAATGATTCTTTAAAGTTCAGAGAGTCTGGCATTGACCCTACACGAGGCATCAGATGATTTATATACCATATGTATTATATGTTTGTAGAAAACTTCAGTTTTGTGACACTTTGCCCGATTTGAATTTGTTTCTCTGGCGAGAAAAAGAATGGCAACCAACACCATAATTAACAGACATCATAGAGCTTTTGAAGGAGTATGACAGTAACACTTATATTTGATGACAGCGAAGGCGAGGCAATACTTAAGTTGTTATGAGAGATGTGAAACTCGTGTAATTAAAGATCTTATTCAAAAGTTACAACAGTTGTAGTTTTTAATTGAAATTACCTATATATACTTATAGTAGATAACTTATAATTTGTACAGTTTGATAATCCCATTAGAGAAGGATGTATGGTTAGGGTCAGTACCTACCTCCTGAAATATAATAATAATGAAATTCTTCAATGCTTTCAAATCAAGGAGATGTGGTATGATTGCCAATGAGACAACTATCCACCCGAGTTCAAATGAAGTGGATTTAAGAAATTATAGGCAACTGTGTCTTTATTTGAGACAAAATGGGTATACTTTGGACACTTCAGAGTTCACTGAATTTGAACTTGCCATGAGCAACATGTGTCACATATGGATCAGGATCCTTTTTCTTACTCTTCCGTTTCGCTTGCGATGTCCATGTGTTTTGATTGGGTTCGTGTTGCTCAGTCTTTGGTTTTCAATGTGGTTGTTTGGGGACTTGTTCATCTTGTCCGTTTTTAGTTTTAGCCATGTCATTGTCAATTCTTCTTCGACTTGAGTTTTGCATGTCTCCCGCCTCTTTTTTTTATATAGTAATAACTTATAAAAGAGAGGCGAAAGATACCAAAGGAACATTCTAACTCATAAGTCGAAATAAATTGACAAGGCCATGGCAAAAAAAAAGTAAAAGACCAAAAGACAAACAACAATATACAAAACACAACATAGAAACTAATGACTTAGCAACACTAACCCCATATAAATTGTACAGTATGATAATCGCATTAGAGGAGGATGTATGGTTAGGGTCAGTACCTACCTCGTGATGGTTTTTAAATATGGATAGTAAAATAAGGGATTTTATCACAATGGATAATTCATCCCAACCAAGGAAAGACAAGCTGCATGAATAGTGTACAGCATGTTGTATACAAATAGATAATTTATTCAGTGTAAATAATGAATTGTTAAAACTTTTTATCAAAATCATGTACCCACGCTCCTTTGGAGCAGAGGACGCTTACAGTGTCGACACGCCCGGTCTCGCTCCATTTAAATTTCATACAATTCCGTTGGGGCTTTCCATCTTGGTTGGTGATTTGAAAAGGGATTTACGAGTATAGAACATCGCGTTTAACACTTGTTGCCTCTGATATTTTGTAGTACAGCTAAGCCCATTTGGTAGATGTACGCTGTAAACAACATGCAATATCCTTTTAAAATGTCGACATTGATTCCAAACAGGGGATACCTTTGGCAATTGCTGGTGCATTGTTTTGTACACAGACAACCAGCAACTCTATTTATGAGTATTCTGGTATTTTATTTCTGTTTCTCTCTATCAGTTTTAATTTTAAAAATGATATCCAAAACTCAAAAAGGAGTAAAATCATCATTGAAGGGTAAGAACTCCCATAACATTTGAAGAGGCAGAAAGTACCACAAGGACCATCCAAAATAATAAGTCGAAGAAAAACAGACAAAACGATGGCAAAAAACAAAGATGAAGAAAAACAGACAAAACGATGGCAAAAGACAAAGATGAAGAAAAACAGACAAAACGATGGCAAAAGACAAAGATGAAGAAAAACAGACAAAACGATGGCAAAAAACAAAGATGAAGAAAAACAGACAAAACGATGGCAAAAGACACAGATGACGAAAAACAGACAAAAACGATGGCAAAAAACATAGATGAAGAAAAACAGACAAAACGATGGCAAAAGACAAAGATGAAGAAAAACAGACAAAACGATGGCAAAAGACATAGATGACGAAAAACAGACAAAACGATGGCAAAAGACAAAGATGAAGAAAAACAGACAAAACGATGGCAAAAAACATAGATGAAGAAAAACAGACAAAACGATGGCAAAAGACAAAGATGAAGAAAAACAGCAATTTACCAAATACTACAGATAAAACGAATGAATGGTCAACACCAACCTCACCAAAACCCGAGCTGACCTCAGGTGCCCCGGACTGGTAAGCAGATTCTGTAGATATTAATACTGACAAGATTTACTTACATTGTTGCAAAGTTTTAGATACCATCGTTCGACTGTGTTAGTGCTTTATATGTATAAATATAAAAATAAGAAGATGTGGTATGATTGTCAGTGAGACAACTCTCTACCAGAGGTATTCTGTTTAGCTTCTTGTGTGCTGTCTCTGAGCTTTAGTTATGTGCATGCTGCGTTGCTTGCTTAAATTACTGATTTACTGCAATATGTCCCTAACAGCTGTCCATACCCGGGGGCGTTTGCTACATTGGTGCACTGTTTGTGATTGTCAGAATGTGCATATGTACATGATGCTTTTTTATTTGTCTTTGTATTACATTTCGGTAATAAGCTCTGCAGAGCTTATGTTCGTATATTTATATTTTTATGATACTATGCCGAATGAAAACAAATTTTTACTATCATATAATTCTATCCTATAATTCTATTCTATGATTCTATTCTATAATTCTATTCTATTCATCTTCCACTGTGCATCATTTATTTAGACCGCAGATGCCACCAGCGACCCCGGGCACCTTATATATCATACAATGCATCAATACATTGTAGTTTCAAGTAGAATATGAGAGACCGTCTACTTCAGCATTCTTAAGTGACGTTTTAATTTTTAACTTTTTTATTTTGTTTAATATGTTTGATATTTTAATATCACTCCTCGATCTGACGTCATCTATTCGATGATTTTTCTCAACGAAATTGCATCAAAACGAATAGTAACACTTATGCCTCGTTCACACGTACATTTAATTCGAATTGAATTCGCATCGAATGCGAATCGAATTCGCTTATCGCGTTCACACACTCTTCTTTTTTAATTCAAATTGATTCGAATTGGCTAAATCGCATTATCCAAATCGCATTAGAAATTTACATTTGGACGTAAAACGTTAAACTAATTCGAATTAGTTAATGCGAATCGAATTCGAATTACGTGTGAACGCAGCATAAAAGATACTGCCTTTTTGCATATTTACTTTTTAATATTAAAAAAGTCATTCTGGGACTTATTTTCAGAATCAATGTTATAAAAGGAATATAACTAGTCCAAAAGTTCAAATATATCAACAATTAATTACCTCCTGACCGATCAACACTGATACTTTATATACATGTACTAGTATGCTGTTTTGTCAATGTGTCTCTCAGTCTTAATTTTTCTGTGAAGTGTGTGACTGTTTGCCATTTTTGTCGTTTTTCTATTGATGTTGTCGGGTTTTATTCGTATTATTTTTTTTTGCCTCTCGGTTCCTACTCTCCACTTGTCAACTTAGCTATTTAATTTTATGTCGAACTTTTTTTCTCGAAATGCAATGTAAACTGGTAACAAGAGCCTGAATCGCTCACTTGGTTAAAATATGCCCATTTAATGGAATAAAGAATGGAAACGGGGAATGTGTCAAAGAGACAACAACCCAACCAAAGAGCACAAACAGTCCAAAGCCACCAATTGGTCTTCAACACAGCGAGAAAATCCCTCAATATTTCTTTTTGCCTGGCAAAAATGTTCCATGTTTATATTTGTGTTCACCTTTATTGCTTTCAGTCATTTTTGCTTATTTGTAAATCTCATCTATAGCTATGAATCGTGTTCTCGATATTTTTTATACTTTCAAAAGTGCAAAAATCATGAAGGACAAAACTGTAATTTGAAGGCAATAACTCCATTAAGGCGTCGTTCGTCAATTTCCTTTATTTGATTTGTTTATAGATATTATTTTCCTAGTAATTTTTGCAGTTTTCTCTATTATTTTAAAATAATATCCAAATTCGTAAAAAGGGAAGGGGTAAAATCATCATTGAAGGGCAATAAATTACCATAAAAGAGTAGCAGAAGGTAACAAAAGGACAATTAAAAATAATAAGAAAACCGACTAAAATGAAAAATAACAAGACACACAACAGTTTAAAATAAACAGCTGCGCCATGAGCGCATAATAATCCCGTCGCTTTTTCAATAGATATAAACCAGTCACCAAAGTTTCATGAAAACTGTTCAAAGCATTTTTGAGTTATTGTCCGAAAACTGGAAAATCCTCCCTTTTTAATAAATAAAACCCCATAACTCGGAAACGTAAAATCTAAAATTAATAAAACTCGAAATTGAGCTCACGTCAATAGATATAAACAATTGACCAAAGTTTCATGCAAATTGGTTAAACGTTTTTTAGTTCTTGTCCGACATGTTGACGACGGGCGGACGGACGGACGGACAACGGTATACTATATAACGTCCCGTAAATGGGCGTGTAAAAATACAGTTAAAATGAATGGCTAGTCAACACGAACCCCAACATACTCCGGGGTGACCTGAGGTGCAAACGTCGTGTTCATCATGACAAGTACAAATTCGGTGATGAGTTTCATTTAGTGATGTCACCAGAGACATATGTCTCTGATGTCGATCACCATCGAGGAAAAGAGAACAAAATAGTGACTTCGACAATTGGAACATATCTGTGGTCATCTGTGACACAGATATTTCATAACGGTCAACCAAATCAAGATAGTGTCAGTTATTTTCCCTTCCTCTATAACGAGCGAATTGTAAATCTCAATTATGTTGATGTATTTGAAGATCCTGTTGTTCATTTTAGCTGCTTACAATTCTCTTTATTAATATCTTTTTCAATGTAATAACCAAAGCCACAATAAATGAAGAAAAATCCGGGCGTTGTTAAAAGGAAAAAAACTCTTATAAGTAGTCACGCTTAACAATTTTATATATGGATTAATTTTATATCTCATTTTGATAGTCATTTTTGCTGTTAATAGTTTCTTTGTATCTATAATCAGGTTTTTTTCTTTTAATCGAAATATAGTTTTTTTTTTTAAAGCGAAACAAAGTCGTTAAAATTAGCATGCAAGGGCAAAAACTTATATATTTTGGAGTTGATTGCGAATTTCAGTCATGTTACTTTATCTGAAGATCTGATGTTGCTGATAATATCTGTTGTGTTAAGTCAAAGTTGACCTTACAGATGGGTTTGA